AGAAAGCCTCCTCTTTCTCCCATGGAACATCTGGTGGGCTTGAACTGCAGAACTTGTTGTTAACAATCCATGACTTATCCTATAGTGCCACCAGAGTTCCTTTAATTAAGCCAAAGGAAGGTAGAAAGAAGAAAAAAGGAAGGCAAAACAAATGGGACAAATACAAAACAAAGAGCAAAATGTTAAAATTAAACATGTTGTTGTTGTTATGTGCCTTGGAGTCCATTCTGACTCAACGACCCTGTACAGGGTTTCTGAGGCTGTATATCTTTACAGGAGCAGAAAGCCTCATCTTTCTCCCACGGAACAGCTGGTAGTTTCAAACTGCTGACCTTAAGGTTCACAGCCTGATTTGTAACCACTATGCTACCATACCGTATCATTAATCAGGAGTCCTGATAATGCTGTGGGATCCGGCTGCTAACCAAATGATCAAGGGTTCAAACCTACCAGCTACCTGGTGGGAGAAAGATGCTATTGTCTGCTCCCGTAAATGTTTACAGTCTCAGAAACCATATATAGAGTGGCAATGAGTCACACTTGTTTGTCAGTTTGTCATACTGTGGTGGCTTGCATGTTGCTATGATTCTGGAGGTTGCGCCACCAGTATTTTAAATACCAGCAGGGTCAACCATGGTGGACAGGTTTCAGATGAGCTTCCAGATAAAGACAGACTAGGAAAAAGAGAGATAGATTACTTTCAAATATTTAGTCACTGAAAAACCTTATGAATACCAATGAACACTGTCAGATAGCAGTGTCAATTTCAGGAGTCCTGGTGTGGCGTTGTGGGTTAATGCGCCAGATTGCAAAGCTGCTCGAACTGCAAGGTTGGCGGTTCAAGATCACCATCTGCTCCTTGGAAACCCTATACAGGATTGTTATAGGTCGGGATCGACTCAACGGCACTTAACAACAACAATAATGCCTAAGGTTATCAAAGTTTATGCTGTCCATTTTATTTTTGATAACTTACAATTTTCTAGTTTCCTACTATGTACATTCCATGTTCCAGTTATTCATGGATGTTTACAGCTTTTCTCTTCATTCTGAGTTGTGCCCCCTAAGCAAATCAAGGTCCTAAAAGTTTTATTACATTCACATCATTACGGCCAACTAACTGGAAGAGATTGATATTTGTGCCCATTTCAAAGAGAGGTTACCCAATGGAATGTGGAAATCATCAGACAACATAATTAATATCACAGGTAAGTGAAATTTTGCTAAAGATAATTTAAAAATGACTGCAACTGTATATTGACAGAGAACTTCCAGAGATTCAATCTGGACTCAGGTGACTCTGCATTATAAGGTTGTTCTAGGACCAGGCAATGTTACATTCTGTTGAGCATAAGGGCACTATGAATTGGTACAGACTCAATGGCACCTAACAATGGCAACATATCTGACAATATTCTGCTTCTACTCATACTATTTTCATAATCTGACAGTATATTTGGCAATGTTCTATTGCTAATCATAAAATTTTCAGTGGCTACACATTTAGAAGTAATCAAATTCTCCTTCTTAATCTGTTTTAGGCTTGAAACATAGCTGAGAGCAATCCACGATGGCTGACCTTGCTGGTGTTTAAAATACTGGTAGCATAGCTTCCAGTATCATAGCAACACACAAGCCACCACAGGACAACAAACTGACAGACAAGTGGTGAACACCTGTGGTAGAAATGTAAACTTATTCAACCATTTGGCAGTTTCTTAAATATATACCTATGATGTTTAACCTTCAGTTCACCTCTAGATGTATACTAAGATAAATGAAAGCCTATGTCTGTTCAATGGAAGCCTAGTTGCTCAGTGGTTAAGTACTCAGCTGCTAACATTTTATTCAAACTCACCAGCTGCTTCACAGGAGAAAGATATAACAGTGAGCTTTCATAAATATTTACAGCCTTGGAAACACTACTGGGCACTTCTATTTCTTGAAAGCATTTATCAATAATAGTCACTATGAATCAGAATTGACTTGATAGCAATAGATAAGATTATACGTGAATATTTATAATAGCTTTATTTGTTATAATTCACAAATAATAAAAACAGCAACAAAACCAAAAAACCCACTAAAAACAATGAAAATTTGTATCAGCAGAATATTGGATGCAAGTAATTATCCTATAACAAAACTATGCAATATATATTTACAGAGAGAGAAAGAGAAAATCTGTAAGTAATGGACAATTTATTGTAAATATTTATAAATAATTGAATTAAAATTTATAAACAAACGAATAAATCTGTAAATAATTATGTTAGTAGACATAAGTACCTCAGTACTTAGTAGCACATAGTATGATATCACTTATATAAAATTTTATAAAATGCAAACCCACCTATGGTAACAAAAAACAAATAAAATGTGGAAGGAAGTGGAAGGTGGAATTACAAAGGAATAAAAGGGAACTTTTGGTTGTAGTTAATATGTTCTTTATCCTGCTGAATTTTCCCTGAGAATTAATAGATGTTAAACTCATAAAATTGTGTACTTTCAGTGCATACAGGTTGTTGTGTATCAATTTTATCTCAAAATTTCATCTTGATTTATGTTCAAAATGTTAAAGAAGCTATATGAAGGTAAGTCAAAAATCATGGCTACTAGGGTTCTAGTTCGTATATTCATGGCTTTATTCCAAACAAAATGTGTTTACACATGTCTCTGTGATCAGTGGATGGCAAGTTCTGCCAGTCAGACACTTGTCTTAGTCTTGTACCAAACCCACTACCATAAAGTTGATTCTGACTCATTGACCCTATATGACAGAGACCGTAAATTTTCATTGGAGTAAACAGCCTCATCTTTCTGTCTCAGAGCT